CAAGGCAGGGTGGCATGGCGGGGCCGCAGTTCATGGCAGCTGCAAAAGAGCAAGGCGGAAACCAGCAAAAGAGAGCGAGACACGCCGTCTTCCTGCCATTACATCACATGCTGGCTCCACCCTTAGATGGGTGTAGCACTGACACCATCAATCCAAGCTAGACAATGAACCAATCACAATGTACAATGCAAATGCATGAGGCCTGGGGGCCACAGACATAAGCCATGACAGCCCTCAAGACTTTTTTGGACCTTAAAATTACCCTCGCCCCCACAACTCGACAAAACACACTGAAATTGTATTGTCTTTGTGTATGCAGCGGGCCAGGCCAGGGGAAGATACCACTCCAAAGTCTCAGTGCTGAGGGTGGAAAATACCCTGAAGGGGAGGCCAGCTGACCCGGTAGGTGCAGTAGGCCCTGGAGTGGGTCCCTATTGTGTGACTTGGTACCTGGAGCCTGGGTTGCATCTCTAAAAACTTGTGCCAGCTGTTTGACCCAGCTCTGTGACTTTGAGGCTTACCTACACATCTGGAGCCTGATTTCCCTTGTCAAATGGTGTGGTCCAAGTATGTATTTTGTCAGATTTCAAGAGCACAAAGTAGGGCGGCTCAGAGCCTGTGCCACTAATATATGCTCAGCAAATGCTCTGCTGCTGTTCTCAAGATGGGGTGAGAGAATTGGAGATTTCTCATCTACAAATAGAAGCCCCTGGGGACCTTAGAGTTGTCATCAACCTACTGAAATGACCTTTGTAGCTGGGCTTCTGGCTGCTCTCCTGTAATCCCTGGAAGGCTGAGATAGGACAATCTAAAGTTTGAGGCCAGCCTGGAAAATGTGAGTCAGGGAAGACCAAGTCTCAAAATTACAAAATGCAAAAATAGCTAGGGATGTAGCTCAGGTTTTGTGTCCCATCCCCAATTCAGTGCCCCCCAAATAAATAAATAAAATAAAAATTAAACTTTTGGTACCAGGAATTGAACTCAGGACCTTGCACTTGCCAGGCAGGCACTGGTGCCACTGAGCTATATCTCCAACCCAGGATGGCATTTTAACAAGGACATCTGGGTTCATCAGAAGGAACTTCCCAGGATGGCATGGCATGAGGTCGAGGGCCCTCTACTGCTCTACATTCTGAGGTACTGTCAAATGCAAGGACTTGAGGGACTGCTGGCCCATGTGAAACCATTAAAACATTTAAGACGATATTAGAGGAAGTTTTAGGACCCTAAAGCAACGTAGCAAAATTCTCTATACTTCACAGGACACATCCCCCAAACAACGCATTTGTGGCCTTGAGCACAGGTTCTCAGAAAGGCCCCTGCTGTGTTCCGATGCCTGGGGTCTTTCGCAAATGCCTGTGTGGTGGTTACACTGTCCTCACCCTTTTTCTCTACCACAAGCTGCCCACTGGTCTCCTCACTCACATAAGCCATCCCAACCTGAATTTTGTCTGGAAGACAGCCTCCCTCATTCCTTTTCTTCCTTGCTTCTTTCCTTCCTTCTCTCCCTCCCTCTCTCTTTTCTTTATTTCCCCTCCTTCCTTCCATTCCTTCCTTTCTCTTTGACAGAAGACAAAGTTGGTAGAGGCATCACTGAGGAGGAGTTGGCTGCTCACCGCCTGTGCATTCCCTGGGGACCATGTCAGGCTGCTGCAGGAGGACTCCCCGAATGGTTGCATGGGATGCAGGTGAACACTGGAAGAGTCTGGGGACTGTCCCGCATGGCTGGAGGGGAGCAAGCTGGCAGCTAATGCTCTTTCTTACTCTTCGGTGTGGTGCGTACCTGAGAACAAAGTGAGCTTCAGCTTAGCCTAGGGCTCCCCAGAATGCCTCCTGCGCACCTTCCTTAGCCCTGATTAATGCTCTCACTAAGCGAGTCTGCGCTGTGAGTCCAGGCATGGAAGGTTAATGGTCCCAGCAATAACTGATTAAGGAACACACATTATAAAGAATTATATCCGGTATCTCTCACTTCATAGTCTGCCCTCAGGGTTTTCCCTGATGTTTTCTAAGAGCCTCTTAAAGCTCCCACTATACAAGTTTTTTTGTTTTGTTTTGTTTTTTTAAATTTTATTTAAAAGGAAAAAGAGAAAAAACAAAACAAAGTGGTGTAAGGGTACAAGTAATACAGAACTACAAAAAAAAAAAAAAAAAGTAAGAAATCACCAGTTAATAGATTACACATTATCATCTTAGAGATAGTTGCTCAAGTCACAGTATCAAAGCATACAAAGTGAACATTCAAACAGAGACACTGCCCACCATACAAATTTTACACAGTGGCTGTTGTCAGGGTGGGGAGACCATCTTCTACTGATGTACAAAACAGGAAGGGAAAAAAAAGAATTGGGCATTAATAGAGGTGAGGTAAAGATGCAAAGACAGTGGAATGTGTAATCAATAACTTTAATAACAACTAAATATAGGTTACTTCCATACCTGAATTTTCTGTTGTTTTATTTTTAATTCTGTAACAGGAGCTTGGGTAGCTTTAGAGGCTGAGTATTTTTGCCACATGTGTTCTTAAAAATAGCAAATGAAACAAAGGTAGGATTAAGAAATAAAAGCAGCTAGATGAACTTGACTGTTTGGCTGAAGACTCCTCAGGCCAGGCTTGGGGGAGATTGGAGTTGGATCTGTCCCCCATCGGTGGGCTGGATCATGTGGCATCCAGCAGTGGCAGCACCAGGTCAGGCTGAATATTGTGCCACTTGGAGCTCTGGCTCGCTTCAAAAGAGTTAATTTCAGCAGTGTGGTTGCTTCATTTTTAACATGAATTTTCTCTCTCTCTCTCTCTCTCTCTCTCTCTCTCTCTCTCTCTCTCTCTCTCCAAGTCTTGGGATTAATAACTACTAAAATTGCTATGAAACTGCAAAGCACATCGAAGTAGAGGTGCCAATGGTAATTACAGGGGGCTGCCTGGGGAGCTTACCCACTGCAGCACATGGGGAGCTTGACATCCTGGTCCAATGGCAGCCCAAGAAAGCCTGGGGCACTGTTATGCAAATTATACCACATGGCTAGAAATGCCAGCTGGAGCCATGTTAACCTGTAACCAGTTGGGCAGTTCTTGGCCTAAGCACAGTGTCATAGAGGGGCTTGCTGTAGTTCTTCCAGACCCCAACCTGCCCCCCAGAAAGAAGCCAGGGGATACCCACAGGGATGGGCTCTCTACTGATCAGGGTGAGGACATCTGTGGACTATTAGAAGTAACCTTCTAATGAGGAGTTAAGAGTACAGTTAGAAGAGGCTACATCAGTAAATACAGTGATAACAAACACTGCCCCCGCCCCCACTTTCAGGTGACAACACCACAAAAGTTTATTTCTTGCTCACAGCATTTATTGCCCATCATATTGGCTTGGGTGACTCTCCAGAGTAGGTGTCCCCCATGTATCTCTCATATTTAAAAATAAAGGGGAAAAAAAGGAGAGTCCCCTCCTAGCCTTTCACATGAGCCTGCATTTCACTCAGGCCTCAATGACAGGATGACCAGGAGGCCAGGCAGGGAAATACAGCTTCCCTTCTGGGTCCAGAGAGGGGAGGAAGAGCAGAAATAGGATTGCCTGACCCCAGAGGACTGTTTGATATAAAATCCAGGACTGGACCTTTGACACAGCTCCCATCTATAGATGACTTATCCAGCAGGAGGCTTCTGTCCCTGAAAGCCTCCTGTTTCAATGGGTGGAGGACTGTTTCACCTCAGCCAGGCATGAGCACACACAACCACACTCACGCACACCCCTCTCAAATGCTAGAATTAGAATCCATATCTTGGAATACTTGGGTTTAGCATCAGCCCGACTCTCTGGGTCTTGCCTGACAGCCACTAGTGCATGACTTTGGACACATAACTTAATGTTCCAAGTCTCTGCTTTATACTCTTCAAAACTGGAATCTTAATGATGAATATCTCTTCAGGTTGTGGTGGGGATGAAAGAAGTTATTTTAAATGAAATGCTCATCAGAAGCCCTCCAAAGGTGGTATTGTGATTAGATGTCCGTGAAGAGCCCACCACAGGTGCCCACTGGCCCTCACACCAGCTGCCCTTCTGAAAGAAAGAAACACATGCTGTGGTCTGCAGTCATTAACATTTAGGTTTGTTTGTTACGTAGGCAGAGGCTGAATAATGCACGCAGAGTGTAGAAAGATCTTCACCATTCTAAGCCTGTCTACCACCTGCATTCTTCTTTAGCATCAAGTGAGATGTATTGTTAATGCAGAAATAAGTCTCCAAGGAGGTGTAGATTGAAAAATGGTTAGCCTGAAAATATATTCGTTATATTTACTTATAACTTCACTCGTGTGCATCTGTACAAATACGTACTAATTCACCTGTGAAATGTGTGCTAACAGGTTAACAGTGTTTGCTTCTTTGAATTGATGATTCTTCACAAATCATGTTCTGCTTTCTTTTTACAACATCACACGAATGATTTTTAAAAATTCAAACATTATAAAACAAATATCCAATGGAAAAAAGTCTCCCAGTCTACATTGAGTCTCATTTATCGAAAACAGTGGTTTATTGGTAACAATCTAGAAATGCTTTCTGGGAGCCATATTTTCAAGAGGCACCAATTTACCAGGTGGCCAAAAAACTTAAAGTTTAACCAATCTCTGAGCAAAATGATATAATACTCTAAATTAATATTCTACCCAGGGCTAATTCTTAATGTATTACATACAGCTAATCTTTTCTCCAATAAAATGATGGATTAAAATTTAATCTCTACATTTCTAGAAGTAAGAAAAATAAAGTCTTTATACCCTTATTTGTTTACCTACTTGAAAGGTTTGTATTCAGCTTTGAAAAACAACCCTAATTGAATGCAAGAATTCAGGATTATATTCTGTCATGAGATCACTTTGAAAATCTTTATTAAAGGATTTTAAAGAAAGGAAAGTATTTGATAAAGATCCTGTTCTGATCTCCTGCATATCCAGACCTACCCGGTAGATTCAATGTTCTTTCATTTTATTAGAATTTGCAGGTGAGGTGCTCGCTTCAGCAGCACGTATACTAAAATTAGGATGGTGCGGAGAAGATTAGCATGGCCCCTGCGCAAGGGTGACACACAAATTCATGAAGCATTCCATATTTTTAAATTAAAAACAAAGAGAATTTGCAGGTAAGGTCTGAGGCTGTGTGAATGAAGAGCAAATGAATGAACATGTTAGGTTTTCTGGGAGTTTAGTGTGAGTTCATTCTACGATCCAAATGTATTATTCATGGATGAAAATGGTGGGGTGTTAAACAGAATATGAACTAAAGAATCAACTTGTGGAGCAGTCGTGGGAAAAACTGACATGCCTTAAGAAGGTTCTCAGGAAGAGCTAAGTTCTTCCTTTATTGGAGCATCCTTCCCAGATAGAAACTGACCAGCACTTTGGTCCATCTTGGGGGCAGGGAAGGCTCCAGGCTTCCAGGAATGAAATAGCACGATTTTAGCATTAGAATGTAATAGGCAAGAAATGTGGGATAACATGAGGTCCCCCAGGTGGAGTCTGTGGACTCCCTAACAAGTGACATCATTTCTGTTGCCTCACATCCCATCATCCAGTCTCTCTCTCTCTCTCTCTCTCTCTCTCTGTGTGTGTGTGTGTGTGTGTGTGTGTGTGTGTGTGTGTGTGTGTGATACTGGAGCCTGGCCTCAGGCTGTCTACAATGGGCTACATCTCTAGCCATTTTTCATCTTGAGACAGGGTTGGGCTCAAATTTGCAGTCCTGCTGCCTAAGCCCCCAGAGTGCTGAGATTACAGGCATATGCCATCATGCCCAGCTCCCAACACTCTTCTAAATGATCCAAAAGCCCCACCTGCCTCCTCTGCCTGAGGAATGCCACCCACTTCAGTAGGTCTTCTCCAACTCTAGGTCTAGATATAGGAAACCAGTGAGTAGGAACCAGAAGATCTGAACTTCGAGCCAGAGCTATGGACCATTGTAAACAGAGTGGCAGGTTCTTAAAAAGGGAAGGGCAGCCCCACCCTCAGTGTCATCCTTCCACAGTTAGGCACTGGACCAAGAGAAACAAAAGCATGTATGTACAGCAAGACTCATATGTGAACATCTAGAACAGCTTTGCGCTCACTCAAAACTGGAACCAACCCCAGAGGCTACCAACAGATGATCGATAATCAAAGTGATTTCTGTCTGTACTCTACACCACCACATTTTGTAGCAATACAAAGAGTAAGGAGTTGGTGCAGGTGGCCATCTGGAGTCATTTCAAAATAATGATGCTTAAAGTTAACCCTGTTTATGTATCTGCAGTAGAATTCCATTTATAGAAAAGTCTAGAAAATGCAAACAAAATCTAAAGTGACGGAACACAGATCGGCAGTTGCCTGGGGGTGGGATTATGCGGGAAAGTAGACCCACCAAGAAGAATGGGGGAGTGTTTGTGTTCCTTTTGATCATGGTGTTTGTCTCATGGATGGACACTAGTGTTCTAGCTTTAGTGTGTCCCCCAAGAGTTCGAGTGCTAGCAGCTTGGTCTGCATAGCAACAGGGTTGAGGTGGGGGGACCTTTAAAAGGTGAGGTCCAGTGGAAGGAGAATTCATCCCTCGGGGCTACTGTCCCCTGGGGGACTTACTGCTGGTCTTGTGAGTGAGTTAGTTCTCTCTCAAGAGCAGATTGTCACAAGGTTACCTCAGTGCTTGCCCCCTTCTTCTCATGGCCAGTTCCATTTCTGCTTCTTTACCTTTTGTAACCCAGCTAAAGAGGTCTTGCCAGAGCTTGAAAAGAGAAGGCTACCTGATCATACTTTTAGACCTCAAAACCATAAGCTAAACAAACCTCTTTCCTTTTTAAAGTTTTTAGCATCAGGTAATTTGTTACAGGAATGGAAAATGGACTGGAGCAACTAGTGGTTGCCCATGGGGAATGATTTTGCCTCTCAGAGGTTTTTTGCTAATGCCATGGGGCACTTTTACTGTCACTCCCAGGAAGGGTGAAGGATGATGCTAAACCTTCTGCAATTCACAAGACAACCCCCTCCTACAAGAGAACTATTCTTTCTCAAATCTTAGCAGTGCTAATCTTGAAAAACATTGATGTAGGGATACATTAAACATCACACCATATACTCTAATCACAAGCAGTTTATTGCACATTGATTAGGCATCAATAAAGCCATAAAATGGTGAAATCCTAGCCCTGCCACTTGCTGGTAACTTACTGCACCTCTCTGGATCTGTTCCCACTCAGAAAATTTGTGTGTTGGGGGGAGGGGTAACAACCGCTTTTTCCCAGAACTTCTCAGCCTTAAATGAGAGCCTGAGATGTGACCCAAATACTAAATAGATGAAAAGAAGGTGATAATTCACAGGCTTGCATGCTGCCTGTGAACATTCAGCCAATCTATTGGAACTGATTTCAGCTGTCAGCGGTGGAACTCAATTACATCATGCAGGGAAAAGACCTTTCAGCTGGGCCCAAGTGCTTAGAGACATCCAAAGACCAAGGAAAAACCACCTCTGAATTTCAGTTTCTGCTCCCAGAACTATGAGGCGGTGCAAGAAATATAGGTCAGAGAGTGGAAATCACTAAGTGTAACAGGATCTTGGCATGACCTTGCGCCCTGGCATTCCACCTCAGTATCAACAGGAAACAAGACTCTGATATGATTAATTGTAAATACAAAAGCTTCCCACATTATTATTTAGCCAAGGTCTTCATTCATTGGGGTTCAGCCACAAAAACACTCAAGAAAAATTGCCAAGGCTGGAGGTCCTTAGAGCAAGCGCCTTGGTGCCTGGCCATCGTCAGGGCTGGGGCTGCAGCTGGCAAAGCCACTGTGAGGATTGCTAATGGTGTACATTTTTGCAATTTAGTTTGGGATCCAATAATCACCATATTTTCCGTGCTGGGCTCCATCCCCACTTCAGTTGCATTGCACCTTGAAGAAGATAAACAGGAGGGCAGTTCAGGGAGCAGGATAGGGAGTCCTCAGTTGGTTCTTTGTTCACTTAGCTGCAGGTGAACAGGAGAGCAAGGCTTGGCAGCCAGAACACACCAGCTTTGTCTGGCACAACGTTCCAGGACCTTTGGAATCCAGGGGAGGAGTCTACCTTTGCTGAAATACTGAGCCACAGCTATCTTCAGGCACTCTGGGCCCAGGGTTTGTTAAGGGCCCTCCTCCCAGGGGGCCACAGGATAGAGGCTGTACTCAAGGCTCTGGTTGCTCTCATTCAATCTCTTTTCCCCAAATGCTGGCAGCAGCACCTGAGAGCATCCTAGAGCTGCTGGCAGGGGGTGCAAGTGGATTCCAGAGAACTCTAAGTTGGCCTGGATTGTGGTCCTCTGGGAACACAAGGCTGTTTCCTGTCCACGGGACAAGAGCAGTTCTCACTTCTTACCATGCTCTGTGCCTAATGTGGCGTTCCCACGCTGTGGCCTGTGCTGATTCTCCAGGGAAACTGATCCACCCTGGCACAACCTGCCTTTGCAAGTGGTGCTGCCTCTACTGAGAATGCTTCTCCCATGTCCCCTGGGCAGTGCTGGTCCTATGCAGCCATGGAGCAATTCTGGGACAGCATCATCTTAGGAAGTTTGTCCTGATGGTCCTGGGGCTGGACAACATCCTCTTCCCCTTGAATTCAGGCATCCCCATATCCATCTACTCTGGGAGATGATCTTAACCAGCAGGAGTATTTTTCCAATCAGACAGGAGAGGGTGGGGAAAGCCACACCTCCGACTCCCTTGAAAACTCAGTACCAGGCCAGTGTCTGGCACGATCTGTGCATGTTGAGAAACCATATTTAGGTCTAGTGGACAGAACTTGCTTTTTTGATATGTCAAGCAAGGAGAAAAGGGGGCAAGTGATGAAGGGTCAGCCTTGCAGAACCTCACTGGCCTTCAGTATCAGGAGGCTCGCGTTTGGAAGCCAGGTCCTGCAAATGGAGAAGGGGAAGGTGACCGGATGGTGACTCTGCCAGGCTCCTGGGTTCAGAACAGGCCAGGCCGGTTGGGTTGGTTGTGGGAGAAGAATAAGGAAGAGGGAGGTTGTTCTTCATAATCCCGCTTGTTTATCCAACAAACAATAAAACAGAGGCAGGATTGTTCAGAGATGCCCGATAGTGCTCATGAGAAAGACCCCACTGGACCCAGAGGTCTGCTCAGGAATGCTTGGAGCCTGGGAAATGGGAATTAGGCACTGGGCTAAGACCCGGAGAAGGCTGGGCTGGGCTGCTCTGGAGCAGCTGCCCATGCTGAGAGCCAGTGGGGTTATTTGTTTGTGACCCCATGGTTGAGTATCCCACTCTGTGTAATGGTAAATTTCATTACCCGGCCTGGGCCACAGGTCCACAGACCTTTGGGGCAGTATTGTTCTAGGTGTGTCTGGGAGGAGGCTTTTTCATAAGACTGGAGCAGAAGGGCCTCAGTCCACCCAGCAGGGCCTAAACAGAAGGAAAAGCTGAGAAGAAACCTGTCCTCTTTGCCAACTGTCCTTAGTGTGGGATCAACATCTCTTAAGGCCTTGAGAATGGCCTTAACAGAAAGAGATTTCACTCTAATCCTCTAATGCTCTAATGCTCAGACCACAGGTGAGGCCCACTGGTGCACTTGACTGTGAGCAGGTTGGTTGCATGGTCATCTAGAGCCAGTCACCACGAGGATGTTCACAGAGACCAATCTCGGGGACTTGTCTACTTCTGGTGCAGGGAGAGGATGGCCCCATGGGGCCCAAAGGTAGCAGTTTGGCCCGTCTTATTTTCTGCAGAGATCTGGGGTGCTTGTCCTGCACACAGGAATAGGTCCTGGGCATCCAGTCCACAGTGTAAGACCCAGGCTCTGCCTCTTTACCTTTAGGAATCTCCAAAGTGGTTAGAAAAATAACTCATGGAAACTGAGACAATGTAGAAAACTTGCAATCCTAATACAGTAGGCACGGGGCAGCCCAGGGAAGGGTGAACTCAACCTGGCTTGGGTCCACTCCCAGTCCTGGGGTCTGTCTGGATCATCAGATGTGTGGTCTCACTCTTCCTGTCCCTTGATCTCAGAGCCAGGGTGAAGGGATTGTGATAGTCCATCCCTCCCCCCCCACCTCAGGATCACGCCCTTTCTGTCCAGTTCGGTTCTTTTGACACATGTGTGTAAGA